GCAGAAAACTAACGACTCGTTCGTGAGAATAAACTCCGCGTAATTCTACGTTTCTTAAATCCTCGCGATTCTATGTACCGAGAATCGTTGCGTTAACAAATAGTAATGCAGCTGGATCTCTTATAATCTTCCGTTCTTAACTTCTTCCAACGACGGAAATTGACCAATTAACAAATCCGTGCAATAAAAAGCATCTTTCTCTGAAGGGACACTCATTCGTTTTCGTCTTTAATCCTGATTAACACGCACTTAATCGAATATTAATTTTCAAGTCGAACTACCAAGTGCTAAGTAATCAGTGCAAAGCGGATTACAATAGATTAAATCGTAGATATATGAAATGTTTATTGATCCCTTATCGATCTGCAAACATCTATTATAATCCTCTTTACGTCGGTTACTAATTTATCACCTAATAGGTTACTGAGGAATATTACGTTGAAATCGCTGGTTTTCGAGGTCACAAGCCTCTGATATTTTAGTACAGGTTTTCCTTAAAGGTTAATTATTAGAGGAAGTTCAGATTTTGGAACAGCCTGTATAAGGTTCTGTTACTGTTACTGTGATCTTAGTTAAAGATTCGTACTTTCAATCTTCCTTGACACACTCAGACTTTCAATCCCCTGTTATCCACCGGACTTAGAAATTGTTCGCTCTGTTATCAGGTCCTCTTCCAAACAGTAAGAAAGGAGCAGGATAATGCCCCAATTAACGTCAAATTAATATAACGGAAGTTTCGCATTTTTGCATGTAACAAGAATGGCTTAAACTCACAGTTTCAATATTTCTCTCAGTTGCATTTATTACGTGCTAACCTTATTTAACGCTGTTTTAGCCTTAAGCGCTAAACGAAGCTTTAAAACCGGAATATGATTGGAGCGTTTTAAAACCGGCAAAAAAAGTATCGAAAATCTATCGCTGAAGTTCGCGTTGTTGAAAGTTTTTTCATCCCCCGTTTCGCTTCGCGCCTTAATCTACCTTACCGCGGAGCGGTTCCAACAAAAACGCGAAAAGAAAAGCTCTAGATTATTTCTCGACGCTGTCATCCCTTCTTCGAGAAGGAATTAAACCGCGAAGAAAAACGACGACCATTTATTTACGCGCGATCCCGAGGTCTTATCGTTAACAGCATCACGAAAAAACAAAGACGAAAAAAAAAGAAAAGAGAGACAGAAAATCCCGAAGAGATTCGATTTCGCGAAGGGAGAGTGGGTGGACCACCGCGAAACACTCGACCGTGTTTTTTTCTCTCTCTCCGTCTCGTTCCGTTGCCCTCGCGGCACCCCTTTTGCCCCGGGGGTGAGATTCTCCATCGAGGCTGGCCCGTTGGTGCGAACTGTGATTACGGATTTCGAGTCTCGCCCGCGGATTTTACGAGCCCGCCGTGAATCGCACGACTCACACCCTTTCCGCCTCTCTCTCTGTCGTTCCTCGGGAAGGGAGAAAGAGAGAACGCGAGAGGCATACGAACCGCATGGAAATAAATAAATGCCTGGGGGTGGTCGGTGTCGAGACGGGTACCAAGGGGTGAGGCAGGGGTGCTGGCTTCGCTTCAGGACCCACCTGCTATCGATTTCACCCTTGAAACTCAACCGTGCCGATCTGACGAATCTTTTGCGCCGATTTTCTTGCGACTACGGGAATTGCGACGGATTTCATCTTGTACCGTTTCTTCTCTTCGAGATGCTTCAACTTCTTTTTACCGCGTGGCACTGTTATTTGAACTGACACCAGTTGAGTGATGCAGTTTTCTAAGTAACACTAAACCTACCATATAATGTGTACTTGATTTGAAATTAAAAATGAAGGTAAAAAATATATAAACAAATGACGAAACATAAATTAGAACATACATACACTCATCCTTCATAAATTAGAACATACATTTATCCTTCAATGCTGATTTCAAGGAATGTACTTTAACAAAATGTGTACCTAATCAGAAACTTGTGAATCAATCATTTAACTAGTCTAGTAGTTTTATAGTTAAATCCTACTTTACTTTGTACAAATTTAAAAAATCCAGAAACTACTCCAACATGATCCGCATATTGTCCTTTGCATTATCAGCATGACATCGACCTGAAGCGTAAAATTTCCCCACGGGATATAAAGTCATGTACTCCGCGCCTAAGTAGCAATAAACAACTGCATCTCGTGATGCAGCTATCACTGCAGCTACTTTACATCACCATTGGATTATATTCTTCACGAGACTCTTACCACGTAAAGTTTATTATTAACGAACAACATAAACATCTATTCGACGCGTGATAGACGTATGGAAGATCTAGAAATTCGTTCGTGGATGTTGTCGAAAGTTTCGTAAATGACATGCGTCGATATCAGCTCCCCTTGGAGATAAGCAACTCCGAGCACTCTTAAAACGTTTCCTCCGCGTTTTATTATTCTAACAGCCCCTCTGGCGAGAGCTACTGCGGATGAAATAACTTCTTTTTTATCTCGCATTAAACGGAGACATCTGTTTTATCGATCGGAGACGCGTCACGGAATGTTCTATTAAAACGAAACAAAGACGTTGTTGGGAGAAATTGGATTCGGTTATTATGAGAAATGTAAGAGTGGAAATATAGGGATGTGGTTCTGTGGCAGGGGAATCTAGAAATTTGATAGGGACACATTATGGGATCTATGGAGGTATTAACTGATAGAGATTTAAGAGTCTGATATAGAGATATATGAATTTGGAAATGTGAAGATGTAGAAATGTAGAGATTTGAATATATAAGAATCTGAGATGTAGGTATTCAGAGATCTTTAACAATCTGAGGATCTAGAGATCTAGGAATCTAGGAACCTAGAGGTTCAAGGATCTGTTGATTTAGACATTCGAAGATCTAGAGAGCTGGGGATCTGAAAATTTGTTAATCTAGAAATTCGAAGATTTGAAAACCTGGGAATCTGAAAATTTATTAATCTAGAAATTCGAAATTTTGGAGACCTGGGGATCTGAAAATCTATTAATCTAGTTTTCGATAAATAGAAATCTGAGAATCTAGAATTCTGAGATCTATGAATCTAGAGACCTGGGTGAAGTAATATGTAGATCCAGATATTTGAAGATTTCTAACCAGAGGTCTAAGCATTTGACTACCTATGAATCTGAAAACCTGAGGCTCCAGCAATTATAGAATCTAAAAATTTAAAAATAGATATCCCTAGAATTTTTCTGTTAAAAGCTGTCCATTCCATCGTTAGAGAACGCCACAATTAGATGAATCAACACGATGCGATAACAGCCGTTGTTTATAGAGCTTTTACTTAAAGACACGACTCGAAAACGTCGTTGCGTTCGTGTCGCGCGATCCCCCGTGGAATAATATTTTTCCACCTCTTCGTGGCCGCTTTCCACGATGAAATCTAATTAACCCCTAATTAGGGGCGGCGTACTTCCGTCGAACGACCCTTTCATTTATTTTACATGCTGCTTTTCCTTTTTTCTGCCGCCGGCCGATTGTTGTTCGTCCCGTTTTTCTTTCGCGAGCGAGCTGAATCGAATCCGAACAAAGCAACGCGAAAGAAAGAGAAGGGAAAAAGGGAGGACGTTGCTTGACCGACTGGTTGATTTATTTATCAGCTGCCGGAGCTTGTCTACATTTTGCGACACGTTGTTCAGACACGCGACACAAGCTTCTACCAAGCTTGGTGACTGGAAATCAGTTATCGGAGGTAGAATTGAAGTTACCACGCGAGGAAAAATTGCCTCGGGGCTGATAGAATTACGACACAGAAATAGAGCTGTCTATCGCGATTCTGGAACGACTTTATTTTCACCCTTCGTACGAGAGGTTTAATATTTTGCTCTAGTGCCATTGTATATTTAAGGATATCATTTTTACTCTTGCTATAAAAATGTTTTTTATAGGTTATGGAATGAGGCAAGGTTTCCCATTTTACAATAAACCTAATCATGTTATTTCTTAATTTTACATATAAGTATATGTGCATGTATGTATATGTATATACACATGTGTGTACACATATATATGTACATATACATATAAAATATGTATGTACTCATATATATGTACATAACATGTAGAATATGTATGTACACATATAAATGTACATATACATGTAGAATATGTATGTACACATACATATGTATGTATATATATATGTAAAATATGTATGTACACATATATATGTACATATATATATGTAAAATATAAAGTGATGAGAAAATATAAAATCAAAAAGACATTCAAACAATCAGCACAAAATAAACCACCATATATCGACAACATGACATAACCTCGCAACACCTCATGACGATAAAAAATGGCGGGAACTCAGGTTAAGCAGCTGACTCATATTCAGATCCGTCACTTAAGAACCGTCGTCAACATTCAACAATCTTGAATCATAAAAAAAAATAAATTATAATGCAGCTTTTACAGACGCGATTATGAATCACAGCTTCAAATTCAGAATTAGCTCAATTATTTGAAGTAAAGCGATTTAGGGCGACTCTTGTCACTTCCATTTTTAAACTAGCACGATAGAATTCTATTGGACAATCCGATTGTTTTCTTGAAAAAGGTAGTTGTTTTAAAGTCGAAGTGCACAGTCAGGTGTTTGGGTCCGCAGGTCGGCGAACCTGCAGCGGGAGAAAGGAACGACGCACCAGGGACATCCCCGGGTTTCGATTATCGTCAATAACTCGGCTGGATGTGTATCCCTTCCGTGCAATGCCTGTAGTTCCCGGAAATTCGCTTCGCCCCCGGGATTATCCCGTCCGGGGGATTCCCATCTCGGCGCCATGGTTATGCGCCCTTCCTGCCTGTCGTTCAACCCTTACTTTTGCCCTGGTCCCCTTCGTCCCTTTGTCTTCGAGTTGCTTCGCGATTTCTTCAAAATTACTTTGTCCAAAATATTGCGTCGCATCTTTCTCGCAATCGTACGATATTACACTCGTGTCTTTCGTACAATTTATTTTCTACGATGAACCTTTTAAATCGGAGTTCTTTCTGTTGCAGAATGCACGTTTCCGTTGAAATGGGAGGGGACGTGGTTTCAGAGCGGAGTCAGACAACCTATCGTCATCTCCAAGAACGAGCTGTCCAGCAAGGGCAGGTGTCTGCACAACGAGGGCGACAAATTTCTTCTGGTGGACCAGTGAGTTCTTTTTATACATATAATTTTTACATATATTTATTCGTTACGTTGTACGATTTAATTAATAGGTAAAATTAAAAGAGCCTTTGAATCTTCAATTCTTTATCTTCTTCGTGAAATTCTTTTGCTATTTAAATACACTCACAAGAGTCCTTTCTTTACATTTCCCTTTCCAACATTTTCAATGCAGAAATTTAATACGTAGAAATTCCTTTTCAAGTTTTTATAATATACCAAATGAAGAATAAAAATTGTTCATAATAAAATGCATACGTAATGAACGATAAAGGAACTCAATTACGTACTACAGAAGATTAATGAAAGTTCTTACATCTCGAAAAAACTGCAGCACGATGTAAAGAGGATAAATACAGTAGCTACATTTTTCAGAGGCAAGTTTGAACTCGAAGAAAATTTCTTTTGTTAAACTTACTTTCTTTAATAAGAACCTTTTATAACTGGCGCTGTCGAGAGATTAAAAACTCACTCTGTTAATACGCTATTAAAAGTCAACCCTTGGTTCTACATCCAACGTTAAGTTTTCCTAGCATAAAACAACGCAATCTATGTTTAAAAAAATAATTGAAAAGTAAAGTAAAAATAATTGTGTAATTAGTAAAAATATTCACAATGATTGTAAATATAACAACATGCATGATCCAGCTGAAATTAAAATTAAATTTTACTATCTCGATATAAAATAACGCAATCTGTGTTTAAAAGAATAATTGAAAAGTAAAGTAAAAATAATTGTGTAATTAGTAAAAATATTCGTAATGATTGTAAATATAACAACAACCATGATCCAATTAAAATTAAAATTAAATTTTACTATCTCGATATAAAATAACGCAATCTATGTTTTAAAAAATAATTGCAAAAGTAAAGTAAAAATAATTGTATAATTAGTAAAAATATTCGCAATGATTATAAATATAACAACATGGTTGATCCAACTAAAATTAAAATTAAATTTTACTATCTCGATATAAAATAACGCAATCTGTGTTTAAAAAAATAATTGTAAAAGTAAAGTAAAAATAATTGTGTAATTAGTAAAAATATTCACAATGATTGTAAATATAACAACAACCATGATCCAATTAAAATAAAAATTAAATTTTACTATCTCGATATAAAATAACGCAATCTGTGTTTAAAAGAATAATTGAAAGAGTAAAGTAAAAATAATTGTGTAATTAGTAAAATTATTCACAGTGATTGTAAATATAACAACATGAATGATTGTTACTTGGTAATTTATTTTCTTAAAACGGTCATTAATATAAAATCTGTAAAACTTCAATAAAATTGCTGTTGTAAGCGCAGCGTGACAGAATGTATAAAATTTGGTTTAAAAGAAGTAGAAGAGAAAGGTAGAAGGAACTAAATAAATAAAGCTGCTTCAATATAAAAGAGAGCAATAGAAGAAAACCACGCCATAGCTCGATTTCAGAAATTTGTGTCGCCTGAAATCTCGTTAGAGTTGGCCGTTAATCCGAAGCAATCCGTGTCCTCTAACGAGGAGCAAAAGAAAAAAGGCGTGAAGAACGAAGACGAAGTAGAAGAATCAAGCACAGGCGAAAGCATTCTAATTCCAGCAAACGATATCGAATGAAAGACTCGAATGAGATAAAAAAGCCCTGTTTCTGTTCTGTTCCAGAAAATCCTGCTACCGTTGCGTCGTCATTCACGAGAAGCACTCAAACGTTCTCCAGTACAAAGAAAGTAAGTACAATTCCGGAAGAACATTGAAAAGATGTCGTTTCTTCTCTCGTTCCTTTCTCCTTACTTTCTTGGCCCTTCTTCGACCTGGTCTTCTTTCGACCGACCCGTAATAGCCGTTGTTTCGGTACGAAATCGATAACGATTTCCCGTTGGCCCGTGGAAATCCATTCATTAATTAGAATGCCGATCGGTAATTAAAAGCTCGAAGATGACGAGAAGACGGCCGAGAGAAGGAGGCTGCCAGAATAATTCCCAGCGAAGAACTTAACGACTTTCGTTCGTTGTGCAAACCCGGGGGATGGGTCGCGATGGGATGGGCCGGATGACGAGGAGAGGACACGGAAACGAACGAAACAGGCAATGGTACTGCTAATTCCAGACGGGCACCGGGAACCTCGTTTACAGCGGAAAAGAAATCGAGAGCACTTTGCCGGATTCTAGCGTGCAATCAACCCGGCTGCCTCGTTAATACACGGACAACAGCGAACTTTCTGGGACGTGATAATGATTCCCGTTCCGGATATTTATCGAGCATCGTTATGCAGATCGCTGCAAATTATTGCGCGACTTCTGTTCCTTAATCAGAAATCGCTGCCGACTTTGTTTTGCAAATATTTCGTTAACACGCTCTACGTCCACATTTTTTCCTATCTTCATCTTCCTGCGGATCTTGCACTCTCACTGAACCTATCTTTTCCATCGCCCTGATCTTCATGGATCTTGAGTTCCCTGCACTCTGTGATCCTCGATATTGTCTCTAAAATTTGACTGAGATTTTAGAGTGAAAACTTTTTTCGAAGACTCCTTAGATTGTCTCGAATCTCCATCTTGTGTCGACTGGCACCAGTTACTTCTTGTAGACGTTGCACTCTTACGGTACCCATCTTTTAACCTATCTTTTCCATTGTCCAGGTCCTTATGCATCTTCCTTACACTCTGTGATTCTCAATATCGTCTCCAACATGTGACTTAGATTTTAAATCAAGAACTTGTAGACTGTCCACTTGTAGATTGTCCACATACTGGAAGCACAGGATGCTTCCCTGTCGAGACAAGCTCCAGCACATATTACATATAAAGGATTATCCGATCCGCGTAACGCAAGGTATTCCGAAAATGCACGGTTAAATTGCGGGAGTTAAGCCGCGTATATTCGAAAATTAAAAGTGCTCGTTAATATACCGCAGAAACGGTAAGACTGTTTGAGAGCTCTTTGATGTCCGTTCTCATATGAACGTGTCCTCGTTAGTTTAGAGTGTACAAAGTTAGTGAAGAGCATCTGTTTACGTATTCAGAAAGCCAAAACCTGCATCCGCCTGTACGTGGATTTTCATAAAAATCGTCGGATCTGTAAAAGTTTCGTCCGCTTTAAAACTAGCTCGTTCGAAGCAAGCTTTTACCCTGCTAGAATCGCGCAACGAGGTTTCCTGATAATTCCATTCACTTCAGCGTAGCTCATAGACGATACAAGCCTCTTTTTTTTTTATTTTCAAACCCGCTAACGATACTTTGATCCTCCAACTGTGGTTGTAAGTGACGCGACTGGCGGCGAGGGGAAACGAGCGAGCGGCAAAGAGGGTGGTAAATATGGATCCGGATAAAAAATGGGTTAGGTGCTGGCGAAAAACGTGTGCTGCAGTTCGTACAGCTTCGTTCAAATCAATTGATCGATGGTCAATTTTAAACGGCTATTAATCAATATCCTTTCGTTACTTTTCATAGTTTATTTCATTAGTCCGATGGCACATTTTCTTTCGCTGATACGCGGTTTAGTAATATTTTATTTCGAGGGAAATGGTACTCGTTATATTTTTACTCGCACGAAATTTCGGATATGGTAATACGATTTCATTATTCTGAAGCATAATTTATTTCCTGTAATGGGGGCGGGTTAACGTCTGGTCTTTTAGCTGTTAATGTTTTGGTGTGTTGATATAACGTTGATATAGCAGTGTTCATGTAAGAATGCGTTTAAGTAGCGATAGGTTGGTATAGCAACATGTAGATTATAGCAGCGTTCATGTAAGAATGCGTTGAAACGCGACAGGATGGCATAGCAACATGTAGATTATAGCAGCGTTCATGTAAGAATGCGTTGAAACGCGACAGGATGGTGTAGCAACATGTAGATTATAGCAGCGTTCATGTAAGAATGCGTTGAAACGCGACAGGATGGTGTAGCAACATGTAGATTATAGCAGCTATAGGAACACGTTGGTAGCAGCGTGTTGATATAGCGATGTATCGATGTAACAAATTATTGATCTAGCAGAGTATTGACATAGTGCGTTAATGCTCTGACAGGTTGGTATAGCAACATGTAGATTATAGCAGCGTTCATGTAAGAATGCGTTGAAACGCGACAGATTGGTATAGCAACATGTAGATTATAGCAGCGTTCATGTAAAAATGCGTTGAAACGCAACAGGATGGTATAGCAACATTAAGATTATAGCAGCTATAGGAACACGTTGGTAGCAGCGTGTTGATATAGCGATGTATCGATGTAACAAGTCATTGATCTAGCAGAGTATTGACATAGTGCGTCAATGCTCTGACATGTTGGTATAGCGCAATAATATTCCGCAGTTAATATAGCGATGCGTTAATATTCCGATACGTTGATACCCTGGTGCCTTGATATTCCCATACGTTGATGCTCCAGTACGTTGATATAGCGGCGAGCTAATGTAGCATATAATATCGCGACGCTTTATCACCCCATAATTCTACTGATCGAGACTCTACCCGAGACAATATTCAAGCCTTTTTCACCACCTTAATTCAAAAACTTCTGCAACACTGTTTTTAGCAAGAGCTATGTTGAATGAATGTTCATACCTCTGCAACACAAGAGCTATGTTGAATGAATGTATAGAATACCTTCAGAATTGTCAGCTTAATACATGTCAAGATTTAATCCTATTCAGCAATCTTTTTTGTGGAACCTGTCCATATCACTTGAACATTGATATCGAAGAAACGATAGAGCAATTAACTTTCATTCGTCAGAAGTTGCTTCGATTCATCATCTGTCTAAAGATTATGGATTTCTCTCCAGAACTTTTCCCATCGAGATTCATCACCTTTGATAGCTCCATTGCCCATCCATTTTTAACAGCCTTGTTTTGACGGCACATGATCGCTCCATAAACGATCGTGGTAGATCGACGGATTTCAGAAAATATATAAAAATGATTTTCACCAAGTAACGAGAAAAGATACGCATATTTTAAGAGTGACACTTGCTAGACATCTAGAATGTTACATTTTCTCGGACCGCTTTTAGATGTTCATTGTTAAACACACGGATACATCACTGGTTGACAGTAAGATAGATGGTAGAGAAGTGAAACGACCTGTAGAGAGATAAATGAAGCCACAGAGAGAGCAACAACGTCAGTCATATGGACTTTGGCACCACAGCCAAGTTGCGGAGCAACGGAGAGGATGAATTCGTACAGGCTGTTCTAGAGCGTTGCTATCTAACATTATTTCAGTACATTATGCTGATGATCGTGCTTGTTACACGAGTCGTATCTAACGGTTTTTGAAATTAGAATATTCTAATATTTGTATACTTTAACATTTCGCTAACTTATTCAGTCATAACGATTGCAGGAATAGTACCTGCATCTGACAATTTTTTTATATTACAAATTTTCAATCTTCAAGAATTTGACACTCTTCTATACTCAAATTGAGAAATTCAGAAACAGCCATGAGTTCATTTACAGTTGATTTAACTCTCAGATATTGATCTGTTCAAAAGATGATCAAAGACTTAATTAACTCTATTTTTTATTATACACATCTATGCTGTGCAAACACGTATCTTTAACAGAAACACCTCACAGTGAAATACAGTGAATAACAAAGTAAAATAGGCTTGAAATTTTCTCCGTTGCCATGTTATGAAACGCGCAGTATAGGCTGAAAAAGAGGGACACCGACCTCTGGTACACAGCAGCCCTCTCCTGTCTAGCGTCCGCATTTTTCGACGATTTGTCAAAGTCCCTCGGGTCTCTCTTCCACCTCTCTCTCCCTCCCTCTTTTTTTATCGGATTTTAATCTGCATAGTGTCACATCGCAGATACCATTCGCCTGCAGGCTACCGTTCGGACCGTCAACGTGCGGGGAAATGTGGGTCGTTTCGGTGGAAAACGGGGTAGAAGAAGCGTGACAACGAACGTAGAAAAGTCTCGTCACGCTTCGGGCGAACCAATGGAAAAACCAAGGACTTTCTTCGTGACTCGTGATACATTCTGAAGGCTGATGTTTGGAATGAAATCCGATTCGCGGACCCAGTTCGTTATCGATCGTTCATTTGTTCCCGGGGGATACGTTCCTCTGCTTAAAAGCGAACGATTGTGCTGCGATCGTTTGCGAAATTGGGGCGGTTTAAAGTGTGTCAGAGGATTCTATCTTTCCACTATTTTCTATGTTTATTAACGCTTCAAATATATTTTTACTATTTTATTTATTTTATGCAACACTCTTCGATGTAGCACAACATAACCTAACTTTTCACTGCGAACCACTTGTGTCATCATGTGTGCATATGTGACGTTCATATGTTACTCGTTATATTAATTGCTATCTTCATTGAAATGTTTAAAATTACAAAATATTGAAACACTTATCGATGTTCAACTATCTGCAGTTTCTATGTAGGATGAAATGATGAATTTTATGTTTGATTAGTTTAATAAAATCGTAGTGTGTTTGGTTGTATTTGTTGTACCAAGAAAAATGTACAGTCTATGTATCTTTCGTATACATGCATGTGTACATATATTGATAGTCACATGAGGATATATACATGTGTGTATGTACATATTGATAGTCATATGAGGGCATATACATATGTATATGTATATATTGATAGTCACATGAGGATATATACATGTGTGTATGTACATATTGATAGTCATATGAGGGCATATACATATGTATATGTATATATTGATAGTCACATGAGGATATATACATGTGTGTATGTACATATTGATAGTCATATGAGGGCATATACATATGTATATGTATATATTGATAGTCACATGAGGATATATACATGTGTGTATGTACATATTGATAGTCATATGAGGGCATATACATATGTATATGTATATATTGATAGTCACATGAGGATATATACATGTGTGTATGTACATATTGATAGTCACATGAGGACATATACATGTGTATATGTATGTATTGATAGTTACATCAAGACATATACATGTGTATATGTATATATTGATAGTCATATGAGGGCATATACATATGTATATGTATATATTGATAGTCACATGAGGACATATACATGTGTATATGTATGTATTGATAGTTACATCAAGACATATACATGTGTATATGTATATATTGATAGTCATATGAGGGCATATACATATGTATATGTATATATTGATAGTCACATGAGGATATATACATGTGTGTATGTACATATTGATAGTCACATGAGGACATATACATGTGTATATGTATGTATTGATAGTTACATCAAGACATATACATGTGTATATGTATATATTGATAGTCATATGAGGGCATATACATATGCATATGTATATATTAATAATCACATGAGGACATATACATATGTATATATATAGACAGTCACATGAGAACATATATATACATTTTTGGCAGTAGAAGTCTTAAAGATACATATACACTGATTGCACCTCAAAATAATTGAAAGAGTTAATCAGTGTACCAAAAACAAAGCCAGTTTAAATAATTTCAACTGCTGTAACTCGAGAATAACCTTTTGTCAGCACCGTAAACTAAAGGATCACGACTGTTGGTCTCCCTGTGTGCACAACGTTTATAACTGACTGCGTGGGTTTATAAAAAATCGTATAAAATTTTAAGCGTTAATCCTCCGCTACTTCCGCGAGCGAAAACCCGCAGACGAATTTCGCGTGAGACTTCCGCGGACTTCCACCCCGCGGAAAAGAAGATTTTAGCAGGCAGTCGTTGCGTCGGAGCGGTTCATCAAGAAGCTTAACAGGCAAAATTGCTGTCAGGACAGAAAGCGTGTTTTAAATTTAATTGGCTGACGGCGAGCGTGTTTATATCGCGGACAAGTTGGTGTCCGTTCCAAAGCGGAACACGGAATTGCACTTTACACGCTCTTCGTTTCCGGAATCGTTGTACAGGATGTTTCAAAAATATTGTCATAAATTCTCCGCGGGTCGGATCGAAAAGTACTGAACCATTTTTCAATCTGCGACTTCGTTCTTGAAATAAGAGTAATTCAAGATTAAGTTACAGACATAACATGGCTGTGCTGGAAGTCCGCCATTAAACTTTTAACTAGTTACATGTCAAACTACGAATCGCAAAATGATAAAGGAATTTTCAAGAAACAGTTCATCAAGTGTTGTATAATTTTTTTAAATAAACGAGTTTGAGTAGAGTAGTGATTTTTATTAAAAGCTGTTACTGGACACAGTAACCGATTGGCCAATGATTAAAAGTAACGAATAAAAAAGAGTAACAAAGTTGGAAACCACTAAATCGATGTCAACGACTATTTTATTGCCTCTTCTCTTTGCTATTTCACATTTATCCTGAAATCGCATATCGCTTTTATTACAGTTTACAACGACTTCGAGGGAAGCATCAACCTCTCGTACCAAATGTTTCTATAAAATTGATAACATCCCACTCCACCCGTACAGTCCGTACAATTTAATTATTCCAATGAATTGTAAATTTTTGTACGTTTTAATAGACAGACTTCTGGCACGTCCTCCGAATAAATAGCACGGAGTTGAACATTTTCGTGTTCGTCGCGCAATCAAATTTTCACGTAACCGAAATTATTCAAGCAAAGGAATATTTATTTAGGCGAACAATAAACCGTGAAGCAACGAGCTGTCGCTGAAAAAAAGAGAACGCCCGGAAGAACGTAGGCAGATGTAATTTTCAAAGCTTGGAAATGGAAAAAGTGCAATGTCGTGTCTTTCCTCTATTTCCAAGTTTTTCCCCAGTCGTCCGACCATTTATTTATTTATTCTCACGTGAATGCCAGCTCCGTGTCACCCTTTCGTTCCGATGAACTCACCGGCTTCTCAAATTTTCATCGCCATTTATTCTTTATTAGCATCGACCGTCTTTCCACTCTCCGTTAATTCGCCCTACTTAATTACCTTTCGCGATCACTTTTAATTAATCTTAAAAATTGCATGTTACGCAAAATCTGTATTCTTAAATTTTCAGATTCTCAAGCTTCTAAATATATTCAAATATCCAAAGATATTTTCAAATCTTCAAATTAACCCTTTGCACTCGAAGGTAATTGTTTCAGCAACTTTAAAACTTAGAAAGTTAAATGAATTCTTCTGAGGTTATAATAATTTCCATTATTTGTTTCACTGTGTTTATACGTCACACGTGTTATATTATAGAATCAGTTTATTTCAAATTATTGTATTAAATAAAATGGTGACTGAAACACCTCTCGATCGCAAAGGGTTAAAACTGAACTAAATTTCTAATTCTGAAATATCAAGGGCCACTTGATTTACACAATCCTATTTACTCCACATAAGCAAGTTCTCTCACGGTCTCCCAAAAATAACAACTTCGAATTTCCGATGGACAAGAATGTTCCCCGGCGGAGTAATAAAGATTGGGTGGGAATCAATGACGCATTTCAATAATGTTCAATAACGGGGAGGGAGGGTCGATAGGGGCGAAGTCGAAGAAAAACAGCAGCAGTCGATGGGCCGTCGACTTTTCCCGGGTTAGTGGCAACACCTGTGCGTAGAAAAGTTGTTTCCGAGGTCCCCAGTGCGAGTGTCTTGCCACTTTTCCAAGCGGGAAGAAAGAAATCGTGGAGAATATCCTCGGTTAAAGTTATTCTCGGCTATGAACTTCCTACTCAGAGAAAATTCGTCATCGTCTGCTTGCCCCTCTACCTTCTTCGCCTTTCTTCCCCTCGCAGCCATCACTTCCTGTCAAGCTTGGTCTGCGCCTCGGAACTTATGGCTGTTCGATGGAAGTTAATGTGTCGCAACAACTACTCCGGAAACTGGCTCTCGACAAAGTTAGAGCTTGAAATGATTGTTATTTCTTTTGGATTTTGTCCACTGTTATAATTGTTATGAATTATGAACTGAGTTGTAATTTGTCCTTTGATATTATAATAATCTTTGATGAAATCATCATTCTGTGGGTTTATTTTTATAGAAATAATTTTAGCAACAACTACTTCGGAAACTAGCTCTCGACAAAGTTAGAGCTTGAAATGATTGTTATTTCTTTTGAATTTTGTCCGCTGTTATTATAATTGTTATGAATTATGAACCGAGTTATAATTTGTCCTTCGATATTATAATAATCTTTGATATCGTGAAATCAGCATTCTGTGGGTTTATTTTTATGGAGATAATTTTAGCAATATGTTATTAATTTGAATTATGTACGTTGTAGATAATCGTAACCTACGATAATGGGATTTTTGCAACGAAATTTCGTGTATTATTAAAAGCAAAGTACGATTTACGAGACAAATAAGATAAAGGCAATTTCCCCAGCGTCCAATGCTACAACGTTAAATCTCTTGAGTTGACAAATTTTAATCAGAACAGAGTACAGTTCAGTTTTAATCGTTCCTTTTATTCCTCAAATAACAAAATATTATCTTTCACGATAAATGGAACGTAGCAGATTTATTCGTGTCATTTGAAAGTTTTATCGTTGTTGCCTGATGGCACTGCCTCGCCCTCCGTCCGCACCGTAACGTCTGTGTTCATTTAAACGAATAACTAACGAGCTTTCATTTATTGTTTCAGCTTACTGTCACGGCAGAAACTCCCTCGCCTCCCTGTGCTCGTACATCACCGGAGATGCTCTGCTATATTCGATGTTCCGAGAAGAGGCAACACCTGTGCCGTGCCCTTTTCGAGGCCCTATGACCTTTTCGTATAACCGGGGTTACGGAACCTGTTCTGTACCCGTCAGCAACGTCGACACCTGCACGGACGACAGCAGATTGCTCTTCAGATATCAGGCATGCCCTGACATATCCGCCTCTGAAAGCGCAGGTGAGCTCTATTCTTTCGCCCGTATACTATTTCATACGGGCTCAATTTCTTTGGGTGTCAAGCTTTTGCGTATTCGGGAAGATGGAACTTTGCAGCTTTATGTGTTTAGAATGTTGGCAATTGGGAAATTTATTAACGTGGGATGTTGGGAATTTATAAAAGAAATGTAGTAGGAAATTTTAGAATTTACAAATTTAGGAAGGTGGCAATTGAATAATTTATTAATCTGGCAAGTTTGAAATTTAAAAATATGTAAGGGTGGTGATTTACAAGTTTACTAATCTGGTTCGTATGAAATTTATAAATCTACAAATCTAGTAGGGGTACATTTACAAATTCATTAATCTGGCTTGTATGAAATTTATAAATCTACAAATCTAGATAGGGGTGCATTTACAAATTCACTAATCTGGTTTGTATGAAATTTACAAATCTACAAATCTAGATAGGGGTGCATTTACAAATTCTCCGATCTGGTTTGTATGAAATTTACAAATCTACAAATCTAGATAGGGGTACATTTACAAATTCTCTAATCTGGTTTGTATGAAAACTTGCAAATCTACAAATCTAGATAGGAGTACATCTACAAATTCTCTAGTCTAGTTTCTATCAAAATTTACAAATCAACAAATCTATCTACTGGTACATTTACAAATTCACTAATCTAGTTCGTATAAAATCAACAAATCTACAAATCTAGACAATGATACATTTACAAATTCTTTAATCTGGTTTGTATCAAAATTTACAAATCTACAAATCTATCTACTGATACATTTACAAATTCACTAATCTAGTTCGTATAAAATTAACAAATCTATAAATCTAGACAGTGGTACATTTACAAATTCTCTAGTTTAGTTTGTATCAAAATTTACAAATCTACAAATCTATCTACTGATACATTTACAAATTCACTAATCTAGTTCGTATAAAATTAACAAATTTATAAATCTAGACAGTGGTACATTTACAAACTCTCTAGTCTAGTTTGTATCAAAATTTACAAATCTACAAATCTAGACAGTGGTACATTTACAAATTCTCTAATCTACTTCGTACAAAATTAACAAATCAACAAATCTACCTACAAATACATTCACAAATTCACTAATCTGGTCAGTAGAAACAGTACAAACATACAAAAAGTAATTTGAAAACATAAAAATTCATCAATCTCATAAAACCAAAAAATCTCATCAAACATAGAACTTCAAATATAAAATTAATGAAGAAATTGACAATCTTACACAGTCGCGCAGTTGCTCAGCTCCCGCTAGTTTATTAACAAACTTCAGAAAGTAAAGAAAATTTGGCAAGCGTACGAACACGGCATTGATTCCGTGCGCTCAATTAATGGTCGAAAGTAAGGTTAGGGGTCGTTGCACGATTAGGAGCGATTTTCGTCCGCGCATTTCGTTAGTCGTAGCCGGGGACCAGAGGGTGAGCTCGATTTCCGGAGGGGTTAACGGACGTTTGCCATTAGACGCACATCCGATAAGGGATTTGCGGGGCTAACGATTTCTGCGGTGGAAAATTAAACGGAAGGACGTAGCTGGTAAAAAGATAAATCAGCGCCACGTCGAACATGTCACGTTTCTCTTATCGAGGCTGGCTCAACTCGAAGACCTCGAGATTAACGATTTCGTGTCGCGTTTCGTACGTAATGACTCGAAAACGATCTCGGGGTTTAATGCCCTTTTCGCGTGGACCGAAGAAACCCGAGAAAAACACGGGACAATTTCGTGGCAAAGAATTATTCACGATCGTTAGATGAAGACAGGCTGACAGAGAAAGAAAGGTAAACGTCCAGTGTTTACGAGCATTAAGCTTTTTACCTTCTTCGGATTCTGTAATTTTTATTTCGCGGTTTTACGAATCTGGCAACCCCTTTCGTGGGCAAAGATTGCGAGCGACAAAAACCTGAAGGCTAACTGAATCGGACGAATTCGTGTTAATTGCGAGCTAAACTGATTTCGAGTGGAATTATCGAACACAATCGTTAATTTCGACGATAATAAATATGTATTTTATTCGCGTGCAGAGGTTTTCAACCCTTTCATAAAGGCGAAAATTGCGGAAATGCGATTATAATTCGTTACGTTACAACCGTATGCTTTTATTTGCATGACAGATTAATCGTACAAATAGAAATTCAAATATGATTTAACCCAACTTGCTCAATATCTGCTTTTTATTTAGATCTGCTTTGCTTGACTTTAGTAATAAATTCGATTTCGAGTCTTACCTGTTGGATGTGGCAACATAATTATTTATGAAAGAAGCTGTAGATCGTTTAAGTATAACGAGTGCGTTGCGTGGGGATAAATGGTTCGACGACCCGAGAATCATCCCCTTTTGCTCCCTAACGAAGGTCTCCCAGCTCGCAAAACCACCGGCTCGTTTTGCTCCATTTGGGCTTCGTTAAACTTCCGTCCCGTAGCGAACGCACGTTGAGTTTCGATCGGCTACGGAATACCGAGGCGCGAACAGTTTCCTTTATTTTCCGAAGGGTTTCTCTCCCTTTTTACAGCCGAACGAGAGCGCAATCTTAATGGACGAACGAACGAATAAGAAAAGTTTCACGGTTCGCTGTCTCTTGCCGGCACTCGGCCAAAAAGTCTGCGATCTTACTAGGAAATTCCGACGATCCGACGCTCCGAATCTCGCGAGACGACGCCACGGGCTGTTAAAGCTAAGGAATCGAAATGAAACCCGGAAAACAGTTCGGATCGTTTTCTAGTAATCGCACCGTCTCGACGGGATATACAGGGCGTTTTCGAATTAAAACCGAAATTAGAACTCGTAAATGTTTCACAAAACCTCCATAACCTTAATTGTTGAACACAAACTTGTGTCTGATTAAATGCTCTATTTAATTGTTCACAAACTTGTGCATAATTAGATGCTGTTTCTAGTTGTCTTCAAACTTGTGCATGATTAAATGCTTTCTCTTGTTGTTCACAAACTTGTGTGTAATTAAACGCTGTCACTAGTTGTTCACAAACTTGTGCATAATTAAATGATGTCTCTAGTTGTCTTCAAACTTGTGCATGATTAAATGCTTTCTCTAGTTGTTCACAAACTTGTGTGTAGTTAAATGCTATCACTAGTTGTTCACAAACTTGTTCATAATTAAATGCTGTCACTAGTTGTTCACAAACTTGTTCATAATTAAATGCTGTCACTAGTTGTTCACAAACTTGTTCATAATTAAACGCTGTCACTAGTTGTTCACAAACTTGTGCATAATTAAACGCTGTCACTAGTTGTTCACAAACTTGAGTATAATTAAATGCAATCTCTAGTTGTCCACAAACTTGTGCATAATTAGATGCTGTCTCTAGTTGTCCACAAACTTGTACGTAATTAAATGCTGTCTCTAGTTGTCCACAAACTTGTGCATAATTAAATGCAGCCTCTAGTTGTCCACAAACTTGTGTCTGGTTAAGTGCTACCTCCAGTCATCCACAAACTTGTGTGCATTTAAATACTGCCTTTTAAGAATTATGATGCTAATCATAAATGATTCTTCTGACCTAAGTCTGGGTCCAAAAGTTGCAACAGATGAAATAGCAACAGTGCCTGGAGCACAAGTGTAACTATATTTGAACACTGAACTTGTTCGTGAAATTTGCAAGATCGTAGCAGACAGAAATGACAATTACTTTACAGTGACTAGTACGACGTACATAATCATTGTATCGTTCGAGGTGAAAGAACGATATGAATAATAACAATTTCGTTCCCTAAAACCTATCTGGCTAGCGAACCTTCAGGGGCTAGCGAAGGTTCAAAGTGGTTAAATTGCTTCAAAACACTGCTATGTTGACTGTCACTTGCGTGTTCGAGTGACCTTACACATGTTGTACATCTCTTGTAAAAGAGTATTGCTGCATATTCTTGTAAAAGAGACAAATGCTTAAAAATGTGGATGTAGAACGTCAAACGCGAATATATCGGCGCGAGAAGCGACAGTTCGATTTACCTTGAGTTCTTTTGAATGGTGGTTCTTTGCGGATGACCATCGCCACGAAGAAACCGACAATTATCGGGTCGGTGTGCCGGATGCACCTGAGAGATCTAACCTTCGAAAGGGGCAGAAGTAAAGAGAGCTCGATGTTATCGACGGATTCCCTCGACGGACAGCTTCTGTCCTCCTCCTTAAGCGTCGTCTGCGAAGCTTTCCAGACAGGCAACAGCCAGGGATCCCAGAGGCACGTATCTAAATCACATCTCGCGGAAAAGTCGGCTACCTCTTTTTCCTGTCGTTTCTTTCTCGTCCTGACTGCAGTTCTCTCTTTATCCCGGTCTTCCTTCCTGCCGTTTCTCCTTCCTCTTATTCTTCCTTCTTCCCCGTCCGTTTCATCTTTTTTCTTTCTTTTTTCGATCCTCCGAGGCGAGAACGCCGCGAGCAATTTGCGAGGATTCGAAGGAAAAAGCTCGTTCCCTCGCTCTTTTGCTCGTCACCTACAGCAGATTCCAGCTTCGTTTCCCTCCCCCGAGTTACCGCATCGAATTTGATCCCGCTGATAGACGCGGGGATCCCGCGAATCGCGTCGTCTTTCCGCGTCTAACTATCTTTCGTGTTCCTTCGGAAACTAACGTCCAAAAACCGGGAGATCGATCAACGCTTTTCTTATGGCGGTCTTAAGGTTCTTCCGTATGCTCCACCGTTTCGAGATTAATGAATCTTTGCGATTTGGCGTTCGTATTGGAGTAGACATTTCACTGCTTAATTTCCCGGAGTCGGGGCTATGGTTAGAACTGGACCACGTTTTGTGTAGACAAACATATGTCAGTATTCACCTTAAGAGGACTTAGGAAGAGCATAAATAAAATCAAGCTGAGTATATAAATCAAGCTTCCCTTATCTAAAATTCAAGAAATTCTGATGTTTCGAATTTTATACTTTAGAAACCTCTGATCAAGAAAGAACAATTTAACCTAACAATTTAACTTCACAAATTAATCTAACAACTTAACCTAACAACTTAACCTAACAACTTAACCTAACAACTTAACCTAACAACTTAACCTAACAACTTAACCTAACAATTTAACTTCACAACTTAACCTAACAATTTAACTTTACAACTTAACCTAACAACTTAGCCTAACAATTTAACTTCACAACTTAACCTAACAATTTAACTTTACAACTTAACCTAACAACTTAGCCTAACAATTTAACTTCACAACTTAACCTAACAATTTAACTTTACAACTTAACCTAACAACTTAGCCTAACAATTTAACTTCACAACTTAACCTAACAATTTAACTTTACAACTTAACCTAACAACTTAGCCTAACAATTTAACTTCACAACTTAACCTAACAATTTAACTTTACAACTTAACCTAACAACTTAGCCTAACAATTTAACTTCACAACTTAACCTAACAATTTAACTTTACAACTTAACCTAACAACTTAGCCTAACAATTTAACTTCACAACTTAACCTAATAATTTAACTTTACAACTTAACCCAACAACTTAGCCTAACAATTTAACTTCACAACTTAACCTAACAATTTAACTTTACAACTTAACTTCACAACTTAACCTAACAATTTAACTTTACAAATTAACCTAACAACTTAGCCTAGCAATATAATTTCACAACTTAACCTAACAACTTAATCTTATTAAATTAACTTAAGAACTTAACTAAGAACCTAGAACTTAACCTTAAGTTCTAAGAACTAAGAACTTAACCTAACCTTAACCTCAACAAATAACACAACGTGAATAAATGAAACAAATAACGCGACATTTCCGATGCAAAAGCTTAAGCTCAACCGCATTAAAGTTAACAAAAATAGTGAAGCTCGCAAACTCGTTGCAACGTTAGTACGTCCTAACGTTTACTGTACCAATGCAAACTAGATATAAGGATTACAAGTAGACCGTTGAGAGGATTATATTTGACAGTCTTCTGCAGTGCACCGCGTCGGTACACACTCGTCAATCATCCGCAACACCAGCTCGTACGTCCTCGTCTGACTATTCATCCAAGTGAATTATAGGAATCCATTATAGTTAGGGGACTAGGGCAACAAGAGTCAGATCTGCCACCTGGATCATCTCATTGGTTCTCAGCTACTGTGTTCATTATGTTCTCACATTTTTATCTCTGAACTTGTTTTGGTCGTGTTAGACTCTTTGCTATAAATACTTTTTGATGGTCTCATAAGAATATGTTGGGTTATTAAGGATATGAATGAGGATATCAATATGGAATTTATTTGTAAATAACTCAGAATGTAGATTTACTTTGGATAATTGTAGTAGCAGAAGGTTTATGTTGTTCTCAAGTATGCACTCGATGGAATCGATCTTCCTTGAACCATGGAATTTTGAATATTTCTAATATTTCTCCTAATACTTCAGTTCACAAACACAGTACATATTTGTCCCACCTAACTACATTTTACTTAAAATATATCAAACCTTTGAAATCTCCAATCAGTATCTGGATGTAGCATCATTTATCTTACCCTTCTGTCGTACCGTTTAGACCAATGATCATAGCAGTCGAGGCTCTTATAAAATCAATCAATCAATCAATCTTCTGTCGTACCTCAACCATGTACCTACACAATAAAGTTTATAATTCTAAAATCGTATCATGAATTAATATCGCCAATGAATGAAAGCAACGAACAGCATACACCGTGAAGCGCTAAACATAGAAGTGAAGAACGATGTCGCATTTGAGTAACGTTTTGTTTGTTCTAGTGGAGGAGCTAGAATGTCTGGCTACTTGGAAGGAGGGCAGTAGCCGCTACCTGGTCGGCCGTTTACATCACGGACACGCGTCCAGTAACGAAGATCGATACCGATGCTTCGTCTACGAGAAGGCCGGGCAGACAGTGCAGGGTAATCTGCACAGAGCTGCCATGGGCATGGGAGCCATGGATCACGATGTCGGTTTACAGAGCGGACCGGTGCCCGAGGGCGCGGCCGAGATATACCGGGTGGCACAGAGCGGGGATGCCACTTGCAACGGCCTGTTCAGCCCCATGGAAGGATCTCGTACCATGACTCTCAGGAAAGGTAAGTGTTATTGATGTGTTCATTGCTTTCGATACGCGCTTTTAATCGTTCGAGACTTCTTTACGTGGAAGCACGGAGAAACAGATAGTAGTTTAACTTGGTCGAATCTTAAAAATCTATTAGACCAATGACGCACCTTATACGTCCTATGTTAATGAGTAATTTAACTTGCTCGAATCTTTCTATTAGACCAATGACGCACTTGGTGCGTCCTATGTTAATGGATAATTTAACTTGCTTAAATCTTTCTATTAGACCAATGACGCACTTGGTGCGTCCTATGTTAATGGATAATTTAACTTGCTTGAATCTTTCTATTAGACCAATGACGCACCCGGTGCGTCCTATGTAAATGGATAATTTAACTTGCTTGAATCTTTCTATTAGACCAATGACGCACCCGGTGCGTCCTATGTTAATGGACAATTTAACTTGCTTGAATCTTTCTATTAGACCAATGACGCACCCGGTGCGTCCTATGTAAATGGATAATTTAACTTGCTTGAATCTTCCTATTAGACCAATGACGCACCTGGTGGGTCCTACGTTAATGGATAATTTAATTTGCTCGAATTTTTCTATTAGGCTAATGACGCACCTGGTGCGTCCTATATTAATGAGTAATTTAACTTGCTCGAATCTTTCTGTTAGACCAATGACGTACCTTCTGCGTACTATATTGATGAGTAATTTAACTTACTCGAATCTTTCTATGAGACAAATAACGCACCTTCTGCGTCCTATATTGATGAGTAATTTAACTTGCTCGAATCTTTCTATGAGACAAATGACGCACCTTCTGCGTCCTATATTGATGAGTAATTTAACTTACTCGAATCCTTCTACGAGACCAATGACGCACCTTATGCGTTCTATGAACTTATTCGATATCAGATGCATTTCATAAAGAAATGAATATGAATCATTTAGTGTTTAAATACCTGTTAAATAATTAATAATGATCAACTATTGCAATGTTATATTATCATATCAAAGTGTATAAAATTCTTAAAATTTCAAAACTTGAAATACGCAATTAAATTATAAAATCTGAAAACCCCGCGCAGTAACGTAATAAAAAACTTATTAAACCGTCTACGTAAAGATGATATACAAAGTATATGAAAAGAAACGAACGAAAACTTGTTAAAGTAGGAAGGATTTGATCTTTCATCGATGAACGTAGCAATGTTTTCTAGTATCACATAGAAAGAAAATGACAAAGATCGACTGTTTTTCACTGATTTAAATGCGACAGCGTATCTAAAGCGACAGAGATCCTGGAAATCCAGTGAAGCGAAATCCGTTAACGAAGTTTGCCGTGAGAAACTGTACGCGGTAAGATACGGGCTGGCAAACTGCGAAAGAAGAAGAAATAGATGTAGAAAGAGGGAGAAAAAGAAAAAGCTGTGCAGGAGAAGTGGAGTAGCGTGTAAATATTCCTCCTTCGCGCTCTGGACCGCCATTTTGACACGTTCCATTAATGACACTGCGAGACAGGTGAATTTTTCACACCGTGATTCCTTGGACGATAGACGAGCTGCTTTCCTTTCTTTCCAGCGTTCTCGAGCTTCGCGCAACCTGACCTTATTTTCGCTCCAACGAGTTTGCCGTGTCTTATTCCGCTCCTAATGGTTAAACTTTAGTCTCGACTCGTAAATGAGTTACTTCTTTAAAGTAGCTAGTCGAGTAAAATCGCTGGAAATAGATGAATGTCTATTGGAATTGAAACCTGTACTTTGTTTTGAAACTGCATCCGTAAATACGTTTCGATGCATGCTGTCAGTATTTCGAGAGCTACATGCAAGGTCTATGGGAAAAATAGGAACTTTTAATGAAATGATATTTAGTATGAATAGAGTTTAACCTTCTCGATGATCTTTTCAAGTTAGAAAAATAATTGATTCAATTTTTCCAATGTAATTATATTTTACATGTTTTAAATTCTGTAACTATTAGTGAATTCTGAAGAAGTTCATAAAGAACAAAATCAATGATATCTACTAATTTGATTTTTGAATAATTTAGAAAGAAATTGCAATTAATTACATGACTGTAGATGTACGTGTATGGTGGATTAATGAATGTAATTCGTCTCCGATTAATACGTCCTTAACGCAGTAGGGTCTGATTCATTACCGAAACGTTATCGAGCAGAGGTTGCGGCAAGAAATATCGGAACGCGTTCGTTCGATTAACGACCAACCATCGTCCAAGTAATTGCTTATTCGAGATGTGGGGGGATCTTGAAACGTTTCTAAGGGGCTCGTCGATGTTCCAAGACATCCTCCCTGCCGGTCGGTTTAAACCGCACGTTTCGAGCAGTTATGAAAACGCAGTCGAGTAATTTTCCCGAGGTATTGACTTTGCGGTAGAAGAGTCCAGGCTAATTGAACAAACTTTCGAGCCGGCCTGTGGGTGCAGTTTAAAGCCACTCTCAATAAGAGAGAAAGAAAAGAAACACCGGGGAAAAAAGGGTAACGGGAAGAACGAACAAGGACGGTCTCGAGGGAAACTCGGAGTTAGAGAAAGAACGGAAAAGATTTAATGTTATTCCATTTTCCTAGCTCTTGATTCTCGACGTTGCTCTCTTCTCGTCCCAACGTTTCTACGAGGATCGAGATATTAACGAGGATGCTTGCGAGGCACAACCTTGTAGCAGGACCTCTCTATTTCCTCCATTTGTGTTGACTGCGATCGAACACCTTTGAAGCGGATTACCTTTTCACAAATTAATACGAATTTCACGAGTTTACGTAACCGAATTAAAGTAACCGATCATCAACCAACCGAAGTCAAGTATCGATTTATACGTGAATGCATTAAAAACATTGACATACGACACAGTAACCCGGAGTTGCGAAATTCAACTTTTCCGCCAGATTTTATCGGTATCGTTAAAATGCAGATTGCCAATACACGGGTTGCGATCGGGGAAAAATAACAACGTAGAACGAGGGTCGGAAAGGTACGTGCGAAATCGAAGAGAGAGAAACTCCGATGCGAACAGAGAGGACCATAGAAGGGGTGTACGATTTGATACCGCGAAAAGATAAAGAACGACAACAAGTAAAACAAGGGAAGTGCTATTCGATTTTTACGATCACAGAATTTGTATCTCCTGGACTTAGACGCTGAATTATTTCCGCTGCTGAGACGCTTTTATGCGCTATAAAACTGCCCAAACCATCCTTCTGCACCTTTGTATTCATACATTTTTCTCATTACTTTGTTATTTTTAACCCTTTCAAAGTTTAACCTGTTGGAAGCTTGATAATTTTTGTTATAGAACTCTGTATACTTCACTACACTTCAGGAAGGTAGTTCTTGATCATCAAATACGAGAGTTTAAGGGTTGGTAGACATAGGGGTATAAGAATATGGAAGTGTAGAAGTAGAGGTCTACAGATCTACGGAGACAAGAACTCGACCATATAGGGCTCTAGAAATATTTAGTTTAGGGTTATACATATGTGTGTGTAGAAAGATAGGAGCGTAGAAAGATAGAGATAGGCAGAAGTATTATAGGAGTGTACAAATACAAAGACCTGAAAATAAGCATTCGGATATGGGGAGATAGGGTTGTAAAAGACACAGGAACTGTAGGATATAAGGATTTAGGACTTCAGAGAATAGGAATATGAAGATATAAGGATTTCAGGACGTAGGGATATGCAGATATGTGGATTTCAGGACATAGGAATATGCAGATATGAGGATTTGAAGTTATAGAAACGTACAGATATAAGAACTTCAAGATACATAAAAATATAAAAATTAGAGTATGCAGATCTTTTAGAAATCTAAGACGTAAGCATCTAGGAGTACATTATAAGAATTGAATATCATAAACATGTCTAAATCTAATGTAAGACGTAAGCATCTAGGAGTACATTCTAAGAATTGAACATCATAAACACGTCTAAATCTAATGTAAGACGTAAGCATCTAGGAGCATATTTTAAACAATGAACATCATAAATATGTCTAAATCCAATGTAAGACGTAAGCATCTAGGAGCACATTCCAAAAATTGAACATCATAAACGTGTCTAAATCTAATGTAAGACGTAAGCATCTAGGAGCACATTCCAAAAATTGAACATCACAAACATGTCTAAATCTAATGTAAGACGTAAGCATCTAGGAGCACATTCCAAAAATTGAACATCACAAACATGTCTAAATCTAATGTAAGACGTAAGCATCTAGGAGCACATTCCAAAAATTGAACATCACAAACATGTCTAAATCTAATGTAAGACGTAAGCATCTAGGAGCACATTCCAAAAATTGAACATCACAAACATGTCTAAATCTAATGTAAGACGTAAGCATCTAGGAGCACATTCCAAAAATTGAACATCACAAACATGTCTAAATCTAATGTAAGACGTAAGCATCTAGGAGCACATTCCAAAAATTGAACATCACAAACATGTCTAAATCTAATGTAAGACGTAAGCATCTAGGAGCACATTCCAAAAATTGAACATCACAAACATGTCTAAATCTAATGTAAGACGTAAGCATCTAGGAGCACATTCCAAAAATTGAACATCACAAACATGTCTAAATCTAATGTAAGACGTAAGCATCTAGGAGCACATTCCAAAAATTGAACATCACAAACATGTCTAAATCTAATGCAACTAAAGTTACTAATGTAACTAATTATCAAAACATCCTCTTTCATCCACATCATCCCATCACAAAGTCCTTTTCTCCCTGCATTCAGCGACTTCTAAATAGAGTTAACGTTCCAATGCTCTTCAAAGACCCCACGAAACACGAATAAAAACCGGCGTAATTTCAATCAGGAATAGCAAAGTCAGAAAGCGAAGAAGGAGCTTTCAAAAGCAATTCAATCGGCATTAAATAAATTGCTTCCGTACATTTTCAGTCTCACCGCCTGGCCAGTGCAGATTTCCCAATTGGTTGACCGGCCATTCCAGCGGTGGACTAACTTGGCACACCCTGGACCTGACCAGGTCTTACACGTTCCATCCACGGAACGCTTCCCTGCACGTCACCAGATCGAACAGCAGCTCCTCGAGGTTCGAAAGCGGACCCTTGGATGGACAGTACGTTGCTGGTCAGGAAGATCAGGACGTGAAGATCCTCTGCAACAGCATAAAGCAATCCAGTTCTGCACAGCCGGTCACTATGAGCATGCTGGTTGCGCATTTCACCGTTGGCTGGTGAGTACATGGAATTTACTTAATTGATTTCGTGTGTAAGACCTGTCGTGGAAACTATTTCATTCAGAAATTAAAATATTGTAGAGTGCATTGAATATATTGTGAGATGCATAATTAAATAGACGGAGTGTGTTACTGTTCGTGTTGAAAAATTAATTGAGGGAAGGAGTAAAGGAGCTGTCAATGTTATTTGTAGAAGGAAGCTGTTGAATTTTAAGATTGAACTCATGGTTGAAATCTTGGGATGAATTGTTTAGGGTATAAGAGAATATGCGTTGTTTTGATTGTAGTCGGAGCGGTTTTATGTGCATGACATTCTACCGGAGGGACGGCCATGTGATAGAAGTGCAAACCGGAAGTGCCGTTTCGAGGCCAGAAGAGGCTTGCAGCCCTCCCCATTTTCAGCAGCACAACATACCCTTCCTCACCTTAGTCAGTGAGTACAGTCTTTATTTATTTTTCTGCTTACTGTTTGTGAAATCAATCGTTAAGGTTAGACAAAAAACAAGAGTTATTAAGATAAAAATGGACATTCTGTTCGCCTCAATTATCTTTCGGTACTAAATATTAAATAAACTTTTATCACGGAATTCCTAATTTAGTTTTTGATGTCTAAAGTGATTCTGAAGTCACTCTAATTTACTATTAATTTATAATTATCACTTAGTGAGTTCGACTAGTCCAATTATAAAATGTCCGTCAAAAAGAACTTATATCACTTTCCACAAACACGAAAGCGAAGTTTAAAAACAGTATACCCTGTTTAAATATGCTACAAAAACTGTTTGAATACGCCATAAAAACTGTCTGCAAACATTTTGTTAACATGTTATTCGTACCGTAACCTACATACATGCAAACAGCTTTTGAACCTTCGTTTGCACATTTGCGGACACAAATATTTAAGTCCGCCAGACTCTTGATTCTGGAGTGGAAAAAACAATTTACCCCTGAATAAGTTTCGCTCAAAAAAAAATAGTATTAATATTAGGAAAAGACACAACTAATAATTAGCACACAAAATTAAAGCTAATTAATACGTAGAAAGTATGCAGACAGCGTCAGCTCTTGATTCCACAGTGAAAAGAACAATTTACTCATGAATAAGTTTCTTTCGAAAAGAAATAATATTATTAGCAAAACACACAACTGATAAAAATAGTAAAATTAAAGCTAATTATAATGTAGAAAGTATGCAGACAGCATCAGCTCTTGATTCTAGAATGAAAAGAACAATTTACCCAAAAGTCTCACTCGAAAAAAAAAAAAAAAATATTATTAGCAAAAGACACCTAATAAAAATAGTAAGATCAAAGCTAATTATAATATAGAAAACACTCAGCAAGCTTTAACTTTGAAATTTCTGCTTCCATAAATCCCTTTAAGAAGTCCAAATCCCTTAAAATTATTAATTTGTCGTAATTAACTAAAAATATCGAACATTTAGTCTTGAAAAATGTTCCAAGCCTTTAATCACGAATGTAGAATCTCCTCGAGAAGATACCATACCGTTCAAAAACCTCGATAGTCGCAGAACACACAGTAATCGTTATTCGTTGGACAAACAAAGAATTCGGGAGCGATCGAACAGGAGGTTGGGCGGTTACGCTCGATTTGCGTGACCCTCGAATTTTATTGGGTCCTAGCTCTCGAGGAAAGGGGACGAAGAAAAAAGAATGTGGTCGCTGAAAACTACCTTCGACGTCGATAAACTCTTACAGAGAACTCGAACTCCCGGGAAAAGTTTCTCGTGGCGGGAAGTTCAAGGATTTAGTACGGTGACATTGTTACCCTGACTGGAAAAGGAAGCTTGTTAGTCTGATGTTTGATCCTTCTATAATTTTCAATAAATTCGAACGCAGAATATTCCTCTCGCTTTATTGAAACAACTTGGATAAATAAACTTTGCTGTTCTTAGAAATCTGTTGTCAAAGTTATTGTCAGCGAATTTTAATATTAGAAGTTTGCACTATAAATAGAATTAGGGTTGTTTGTACAACGAATTTGGGTTATGAAATTGCTTTACTTCTATTTTTCAAATAGAACATTGTAAACATTGAGAATTTAGGTGTTTGACAATGTGGTAATTTAAGAATGAATTTTAGCTCCTAGACATTCAGATGTTTGAGAAGATAATAATTTAGGGATATTGAAGTTATACAAGTTTGACACTTACATGCTTGAGAATCTGATTTATGAACTTACAAGATGGTCAGAATTAGGAATTTAGATATTCAAGAATTTGGAGATCTTCGAATTTAAAGTCTGTAGAACTTGAGAATCTGAGAACTTGTAAATCTGAGTATACAGATTTGAAGATTTTCATTTGAAAACTTACCAAAATCATAAAGGACCTATTTGTAAATATTCACCAAATTTAATTTTCAACAAAAATCAATTTCCTCAGAATTAATTTACAATGTCTACAGAATGTCTGAGAAATCTAACCTCTTCGTTATGTTAACCCTTTGCGTTATAATATCGTGACGCACTCGTGACGCACCTTACAGTTCACATGTGACAAACCAGTCCTCACTGAATTCTGCGTTCAATTCTATTATTAATCATCCTAATAACGTTGCACTAATATAACGTTATGCATGGTGCCTAACCTTTCAATTTTCCATATCTCTCCTATATACTATATTTGAATTTTCTATCTTGCCGTAGCAATAAGTTATGAATAAGTGCCTAGAAAATAGTGGGTTAAGACAACCTATTGGGTGGTAAACGAACACGTTTACCTGGTACAGTAACGCAAGAACCAGCGGTGTATCGCAGTGCACGTATCGGCGTTATGCAACGAGGGTGGTAAACGAATCTTCCTGGAGAAATTGAATTTGTTGAGAGCCGATGAAGCGCGTCACGAAAATCGTTGAAACCGCACAAATATTTTGTTTCATAGTTTCGACGATGGCTCGTGCGGTTTGGTCTCGCGGTTCTCTGTTTGTCAATCACCTCTTCTTTCTTCGTTTGTTTTTTTGTTTGTTGCCGATTCGAGGTGTATGCTGGCCACGGCACACGGACACGCGAGGGTTGTCCTTTTTTTTAACCGAAACATTGCGGTTTCGCCCTGTGATTCTCGTGTCAAAAGCATTTTATCGTTTTGAATCGTGCAAAAAAAACTCGGTGAGAAAACCTCGTTGATCTGCAACGTTTTGTTTTATTAAAAATGGGAGAATTCGACGTTTCGTGTAATTCCGTTGCAAGATTCCTTTAATGAAAACCGGAGAAAAATAGATGCCATAGATTGATAAATCGTTCGTTGTTGAATCTGACGGGTGGTCAGTGGCTGGAATGAGAGGTAAAACATTTTGCGGCAAATGCTAAGACGTCATTCACAGTCGACTGAACAACTCTGGCTAAGTCAGGAAGGAGAAAAATTGTATATGACATGTTTCTTCGACCCGATTTCAGCCACTTTTCCGAGTGGAGGAGCAGAACTTCCATATATATCGCTTCCAAATTTTTACATTTGCAAATTCGGGAATGCTCTGATACACTTCTTTCACTCATAATTCGCGAGTGACACCTGACATTTAACCGGTCAATTTCTCTAATAAGTACTTAATTCAACTTCCATCAGCCGTGATAAATTTTTGTACAAATACAGACATTCAACACGTCGGATTATCCAAAAGATAATAGAACTCCATCAGTATTCTATATCGGGTCTGTCTGATTTGTCAATTGTCGAGTCGAAATTGTCCAAAAAAATAATAGAACTCCATCACTATTCTGTAGCGGGTCTACCTGATTTGTCATTTGTTGGGTCAAAATTGTCCGAAAAAATAATAGAATTCTATCAGTAGATATCGGGTCTTGATTTGTCAATTGTCGAGTCGAAATTGTCCAAAAAAATAATAGAACTCCATCAGTACATATCGGGTCCTGATTTGTCAATTGTCGAGTCAAAATTGTCCAAAAAAATAATAGAACTCCATCAGTATTCTGTACCGACTCCGTCTAATTTATCATTTGTCGGGTTAAAATAGTCCAAAAAAATAATAGAACTCCATCAGTACATATCGAGTCCAGATTTGTCCTTTGTACGATACAAAACGCATCCAATGTGCACACGTTTGGTCAGTTCTCGCGTTTGTAAATCACCTTATCTTATTTCAACACCTGCTTCTTCCCTTTTCTTATTTTCTCCAAGTTTTCTCTGTGCCACAACTGCCACATCTTTTTGAAAACGGTTGGTTCCCAAGGGTCTAGCTTGTAATCCCATGGGAATTATTGGATTCGGTTTGATCCAGTGGTTCGTTCCTTCTCCTCGGACTCTTCGTCTTCGGCTTCTTTCTTCGGCAACCCTGGGAATGTTCGATCGAAAGGCAGTCTTCCGACTTTTTATCCTTGAGATACATATTACACGCGGTCGAAGAGAAATTGTTTGACCTTTATTAAGATCGAATACACTTCGGGGCTACTAATTGATTTCTATTAGTAATGAAGCGGAAAGAATGGGGATGTCGAGGTGAGAATAGGTTAGGTTTGATGTAGAGAGATATACTTCTTTCATAAATACTGAAGTGTCAGATTTAAGGAATGTTGATATATGTTCATTACGTTATGTTAGTCCGATATGAATAGTAAAATCCATCAATTTTTAAGATCATATGAATTGTACTTTTAGTACAGGTTAACCTCTTAACCTACAATCTTTTAAACAACTACGCCGTGTACAAATTATTGTTACAACGTAAGAACGAAATAAAAGAAGTTAAAAAAGTTAAGTACGTTCTGTATTCAATAATCCTTGACTTCAAATATTATATTAAAAAATAAACTCAAAATTCAATTTCAGTGAAAGCATAATTTAATCAAGTACAAACTGTAGTGTACGTCAGAAGTGTGACACTCTACAGTGATCATCTTTATTTATTTTTTTTTTAATCAAAAATAACAAACACAAACTGCAAAAATATTTAGTGCTAACTACACATAATTTCATATTAATTTTGCTCCTAATTATTGCATATAATACTAATAGAAAATTAACAAAAGTAAGACCATGAACATACGACAAGATAGGCTTGAGTGGATGTCACCTGAACGATTCGCGATTCAGTTTCACGAAACTGTTAGATTATAAAATTATAATCGTCCCGAAATCGGCGGGAAAGTTAGCAGCGAGTGCGCCGCGGTTCGAATCGATCGAGCAGAATTCAAGTTTAAAGTTGTTCAGGGATCGAAAAGTTCGGTGAGAGTAATTCGCTTGAGCGCCGATTTCCCGGATAGAAACTCCGACAGACCAAAAATTTGTTCTCGACGTCTCTCCGCACCACCGGCTAGATCTATACGTGTACGGAAGTATTCAAATAGTTAGACACTCGCTTCGCAAATTGATGTAAATTACATCATGCAACGCAACAAATATTTTCCAAAATAGAATATACTTTGTCCTTAAATTCTTACAGAGTGGGATTTAGAAAG